CTATTTCAGTCCTGATGTCAGCAAAAGTCCATTAAGGGTTACCAGAAATAACAACATATCTATCTTAATCTTGATCAAATAAACCAACTTTATATTCCTTCCTTTCCCTTCTAACAACCTTAATTTGTTTAATTAGTTCCAAAATCTTATTCAACTTTATCTGGACCCTTACTCCATTTGTAACTATCTAAAATCAAAGTTTTAATCACCCTTGTGTTGTTTATTCAAAAAAAAAATTTTTTTAAGTCCTTAAACTTGTAGTTAAAAGTTCTTTTGCTAAGGATTGCAGGAAACTTGCCCAGTGCTGTAAAGCTGTCGATCCAAAGGTTCCCAGTAGCTGCAAAGTAGTTAACAAGCAATTTCTGAAAGTGATTAGAAAAGGAAGAATGCGAATCTGGTGTCCTTAAAGGCACCAACCATGGGTTGAGCAAGATGGCTATTCTCTCATTTTCCAGAGCTCAAAATCCACTGGAGACCGCTGTCTTGCAGTCTCCTCGCGAGAAACAGCTGTCTGGAGCACTTGTGGGTGATCTCAAGTCCTCTCCTTGTGCACAGGAATTACGAAGAGCTGGTCTACCCGCCAGCTCTTCATTCAACTGCAGTCATTGGCTCCGCTTTTTGCAGAGCCGTCTTCAGTTCACCATTTCTTCCCTGGAAGTCAACTTTCTGGATAATTCTCCAAGGAATCATTACTCCTGGAGATCAGTTTCAAGAATTTCTATAAATTTAAACAGATCAATGAAATTTTAGCTTCCTAAGAAGACAAAAGGAGATAGAATGCAAACAAACCAAGGAGTGGAGGTCAAAAACCGTGTTGGAATCATCTGCCCCTTTTCTAGCCCTCGTCTGCTGGGTGGCTTTTTCCTGTCAATGGAAATTTGTCTCACACCAGAAGCAAAACCCACCCCGCCCTGCAGTCGTGCATAGCCTCTTCCTTCTTGCACAAAATGTCAGGGCTGTTGACGGGAATGAGGACAACCTGCATCACAGAAAATAATAACAGTCTTTAGCTCTTCCCCGCCATCTTGACCGGTCCTTATTTTACCCCCGAGCAGCAGGATTTGCACATTGCTCTAAGGTCTCGGAAGTCTTGTTTCCTTCGGATTAACGTGATATGGAGTCTAGGGTTAGGGCAAGGTCCCAGACTCTGTAGGCCAGTGTTGTCCAAACTTGGCCACTTTAAGATGAGTGGACTTCAACTCCCAGAATTCCCCAGCCAGCCATGAAGTCCACTCATCTTAAAGTGGCCAAGTTTGGACAACACTGCTCTAGGCCTTTAGACAAATTTGGAATTTTGAGGGTGTGTTTTGATGGCTGCCATGGTGAGGGTGATACCCTACAAAACATCCCTTTCCTAGAATGCACACCGGTGAGGTTATTTCACACACCCCTTTCTAGCTTCCTAGAATGCTCCTGACCACCTCAGTTCATCAGGGCATTCCTGGAAGTAGCAAGGATGAAGGAGATCCGGCTTTGCTTTGGAGAAGCCAGCTAAACCTGCTGTAACTCATTTCTAGAAAATTAAAAGATCCAAATTTTTAAAAGGTGGAGTGTGCAGGTGGCCTGACGGGCACTAAGAGAGTATATCTCCTCTGGTACCCCAGAAGTACAGCTGAGGGTGCTGTGTGCCTCCAACCCAGTGTGGCTTATTCAACCAACCCTGTATTCAGCCTGTAAAGCAGGGTTTCTCGGCCTTGGCAATTTTAAGATGTGTGGACTTCAACTCCCAGAATTCTAGCTGGGGAATTCTGGGGGTTGAAGTCCACACATCTTAAAGTTGCCAAGGTTGAGAAACTCTGCTTTAAAGTGTTCCAGATTCCTGACTCATATTTCTAAGCTCTGGAGAAGAGCTCAGCTTAGATGTCTGGTAGAAGCCATAGGGGTGTCACAAACTTCATATGAAATGTCACTTGGCCCATCTATGGATGCCCACATTGCTCAGCACAACAGGCCTCCTGGAAGTCTCCCCCAAATGTATAGGCAAGGGGCTGGTCCTCCAAGTTCTGCAGGAGAAGGAGAAGCTCTTCAGCCTTTCTTAAGCTAATGATAAAGCCTCAGCAGAGTTCCCTCGATAGCTTCCCTTGGGGTTGTTTGTTGCAGGGGGAAACAGTTCCTGGCTAGAGAAGCATTCCACCAATGACGGAATATTCATCCCCACCCCTTTGGGATCTGTCCCTAAAGGAGTGCAAGAGCACCACCCTCCACTCAAGAGAAGTTTGCCAAATTCTCTTGTCTTTCAGAAGAAATTTGGAAAACTAATTCCTTCTTTGGACTGAATGAGAACCAGCAGTAAAAGATGGAGAATTTTCCTGCTGGTCATTGCTCATCCAGAGAAAGGCTATGGATTGGGGACGCCATTGGCCAGGAACTGGGGAAGTTCAGCCATCCCTCTGCATTTCCTTGCCTCTTAGGGTTGGACATGTGACCCTAGAAAGCCCCTGGTCTGTGTGACTCTGTTGCTCCTTCAGGCGGGAGGGGGGGTTGTGTTAGTGCGTGTGTCTCTTTCTCTCCCTCTCTGCTTGCCATTGTCTGATTCTGCCGCATTGTGTTTGGTGTGTTTGTCTCCACAACGTCTCCCTTTCTCTTTCCATGTGTTGCTTTCATCCAAGGAGTTACTTCTGGTTCTGAATACTTGTCACTTTAGTAAGTATAGAGAGGCTGCTTTCTCCCTTTCCAGCTACCTCCATGGGGAGGGAGGGGGGATGCTCCATGCTCACCCATCTTTGGGCTGAGCAACTCCTCTTGTTGCTGGAGCCATAAAGTTCTCTGGGAAGATGGATGCCCCCAGTCCTAGATTGGGGTGTGTGATGATCACTGGTAGAGACTTACCTTGGCATGCAGGAAGCTTGCAAAAGATTTTAGGGGGAGGATGGCCTCGGTCAAATGTTCTGGAGACCTGCAGCAAGAGGAAGGAGATAGGCTCCAGGTGAACTCATGTGACATTCCCCCGCCCAGCACCTTCCGGAAGTATTGAGCCTGCAACTCCTAGAATTTCTAGTTAGCCTGATTGAAGTCTTCAAACATCTGGAGGGCACCAGGTTGAGGAAAACTGATCTAACAGTCCCACCTGGGCACTCCTCCTGTATGAACCCATTACTTGCTAGGTGAACTGCCTGTAATGATGGGTGTTCTTCCCAGATGTTTCTCTTTTCATCTTTTAAAAATGCTTATGCAGTTCCGTGACTGACAGAGGGAGAAGGAACCAGCTGCAAGGGCTCCCCAGTTCAAGGACACCTGGAACAGCAGCCTAGTTCTGTCCTGGACTTCACCAAACCTCAGACCAGTTGCAGATCTATTGAGATAGTTTCCTGCCTAAATTGAGCGATGGAGAGCCTGACGTGGGTGGGGAGAGACATTCTCTCCTAATCGTGCAAGCTTCCTGAATGTTTGCAGTGAGTTTATGTGCGGCATTGTTCTGTGGGCCATCAGTAATCAGTATAACACGTCTTAGGTTCTAGGTAGAAACCAGTTGCTATTGCATAGCTCTAAGGCTTCAAGTTTAGAAGCCTTGCATCTGCTGGGACCTGAGCAGATGGTTTCAGGCAAAGCAGTCTCAGCCCCCACCTTTTTTTTTTCAATCGTGTCTGATTCTTGGAGACTGCCTGGACAAGTCTCTGCAGTTTTCTTGGCAAGGTTTTTCGGAAGTGGTTTGCCCTTGCCTCCTTCCTAGGGCTGAGAGAAAGTGACTGGCCCAAGGTCACCCAGCTGGCTTTGTGCCTAGGCCTAGCCCCCATTAGCAGTAGGATACTCACCTGCTTGTCAGGTATGCTGATTCAGTGTACGTACAGCAGCATGAACCCCTGGGAGCACTAATGAAATCCCATGCACAGCTTGAGGCCTCAAG